CAACAGTTAAAATGTTTGAAAATGATAAAGTATGAGTATTGTAGCGTTTTAGTAGATGTTAAATAGTAGTAAAAAAGTAGAATTTGACTTCCTTTGTTTTTCATAAACACATTTCCACGTAAGAGTTAAAATAGTACCCTACAATGTTATCCTTTTGATAGATCAGCTATAATATTAGAATCAGAGTTATGTTACAGCCATTAAAAGTGACAGAAGTCACAAATTAGAAATATGCCTTTGCTCAAGCTGCAGCCGAGCTTTTGAGTTAAAAAATAGAGTAAAAATAGGAATAGATAAATGCATCAACCATAGATGCTTTCAAAAATAGAGAATATTCTTAGCCAGTGCTAATATCAAATGGTAAAGGGACCATTTCACAAACCTTTGCTTCAAAAGTAGATAAAGTTACTTACAGTTTTATGTACAGTTTTATTAGATACCTTCCAAATTCACTTGTGTTCACACATGAGTGAATGTTGACAATGCAAAAGTCCATATGAGTGTAGTCTAGATTAATGCCTAGATTAATGAGATAGATTACAACCAACAGAGATTCAAAAGCATTTTGATGTATTTGGGTGTAGCACAAAAACACAATAGTAGATATTTAGATATTGAGAAGTTTCCAGCGCAAACACCATTGTAGAATAACTGACCCCAACCCCAAACCTAATTAGCTACTATTAGGATAATACTAATTTGATTAATGATGTACATTCATCCCAAACTGCCTGACAATAATATCTTTAGATAATAAAAAGTAATAAATCACTGACCACTATAGAAGTGTAAATGTTGACCATTTGCCTTACTGTGTTCACAGTTTTATTCCTGAGAATGAGAATAGACATGGAGCAAAATCCCACTAACAATAAGCCACTGATAATGAGAGTATATAATACCACAGAGAGATTTATTAGATTAAAATGTATGTTTGAGAATATGGCTCAATAGAAGCAAATATGCAAACATATTTGTAAATAGATTAGAATAGTTTTAAACTATAGTGAATAGTAAAAGTAAAGTACACAGTCTAAGATTGAAAAGTGAAAACAATACAGTGGAGTGAAGTGTAAACAATCAGCATTAGAAAAAAAGTATAGAGTAATAAAAGTGAAATTAGCTTCTAATTTGAGACTCAGCTCGTTTTTTGTCTGTGTTTTGACTGAATCTGCTGAGTTCTTGTGTGTCCAATAGTTTTTGTTTGTTTTTATTTTTGTTTGTTTTTATTTTTGATTTGTTTTTGTTTGTTTGTTTATTTTTTCCCAGGATAGAGGATAAAATCCACTGATATTGATTTGATGATTATGAGTTTAATGCATACATTTTCTTTGTTTTTAATAATTTTTTGAAGTTTTTTTTGGAATTTTTTTTTTTTCTTTTTCCATTTTATTGATTGATCGATTTGAGTGATCACATGTGATTATGTGATCAAAGGGGAGGGTGTTAGTATTAGATAGCAATATGGCCTACGTGCAGGACTGTACAAGGACTCTACAAGGACTCCATGTTATGACTATGATTTGACTGTCTCTTTGTGACACGTATGTCTTTCGATGTGTGACGTGACAATGACTATATAAACTGTGTACTGCCTTTATTCTGTCTGAGAAAAAGAAACAGAGTAAACCAGTGGAACTTGAGAGAAACTTAAATAAACTTCCAGAGTTTGGCACACCACGATCCGTCTCTGTCTGCTAAATCCTAACACTAGTCTGTGGTAATCCTGAAATAACTGGTTAGATACGAATCCTGTTAAAGCTCTCACTGAAATGTATTTACTGTGTACATGTTCGATTGTCAGTTGTACACAGTGAGCTAGCTACAATTAGCTTCATTTAGCTATCAATAGCAGCTAAGCTAACGTCCTCCCTGTGCTTTATCTCGTATTATCTGCAGTATTCATGTGTTGTCATTCTGTTTTGTGCTTGTATTTAAGTTGTTGTGTGTATATTTGTTTGAGAATCTCTTCCCATAAGTGTGGAGATTACCAACGAGTAATGAATGACCGGAGTATTCTCATCTGGACCTGGTCTCAGACATACGTACTTTTGAGAGAGTAAAAACAGAATTAAACCCGCAAGCGGTGTCAAACGGACCTCGCCACTCCGCGCGACACCCCGCACGGCACGCCGCTCCGCAGAATTTGACATATCTCGAGCTAAAACAATAGGCCCTTTCCCTGTTCGAGGCTTGGGCCTAATAATACCACTATGGGAGTTTTGGAGATCAAGTTTGTCGAAATGAAATTTGGTACACATGTTCCTCAAGTCAAGACATGAAAATAATATTATTATGGCCCCGCCCTCAGACAAACAGGAAGCCCATGAATTTCACTGCAAAATGGAAAAATGAACAGCAAAAGTTTTCATACATGTCGGTTGGAAAGCGACTCCTCCTCGGCCGTTTCACCGATTCACCTCAAAATTGCTCCAGATCATCTCAACACATGTACCTTCAAAATGACCTCAGGGATTTTTGATCAGTGAAACATTGTTTGAGCAGCGGAGCGGCAAAATGTGACCTTTTTTTGGCCGTTTTTGACAACATTAAATTTGCTCCCGTTTGCACAAACAAAGTCTGATTTGCACAAAACTTTAATACATTGTTTAACTCTAGGGTCTAGGTCATTTGAAAGTGAAAACAAATAACTTGGCTCATTAGAGCCCCCTACAGATGGAGTCAAAGTTTTGAGTTTTTCATACTAATAACTCTGAAATAGTCTGTAGGGGGCGTTAATGAGCCAAGTTCAATTATTTCACTTTCAAAAGGCCTACACCCTAGAGTTGAACCATGGATTCAAGTTTTGTGCAAATTAGAATTTGTATATGCAAACGGGAGCAAATAGAATGTTGTCAAAAAAGGCCAATAAAAACTCACATTTTTCCGCTCCGCTGCTCAAACAACGTTTCACTGATCAAAATTCCCCTGAGGTCATTTTGAAGGTACATGTGTTGAGATGATGTGGAGCAATTTTGAGGTGAATCAGTGAAACGGCCGAGGAGAAGATTTCCAACCGACATTTTTCCTTTTTGCAGTGAAATTCATGGGCTTCCTGTTTGTCAGAGGGCGGGGCCATAATGTTTTTTTCTTGTCTTGACTTGAGGAACATGTGTACCGAATTTCATGGCTCTACGACAAACTTGACCTCCGAAACTCATAGGGGTATTATTTTGGCTGTTGTAGGTGGCGCTGTTCTGGCATTTTTTAGTCCCATAAAAATAAACACCAAAATATCAAATTTTTCCCCAGGTCTGATTTTTGGGCAAAATTTTACAACTTTTCATGCACGTTCAGGAAGTCAAATTAAGGCTCAAAGTGCAGAATTTGACATCTCTCGAGCAAAAAAATAGGCAGTAAAAACAGAGTAATACAGAGTAAAGAGAGTAAAAACAGAGTAAATGGTCACCTATTGATGGTACCTATGTTCAGACCATGGTTACCGATTGACCCTGTGTGGTCCCTGACCCTGAGACTTCAGCAGACTCTGAAAACACTCAAACATGAGTCAGACATCTGTCCTTCCACAGCTGCACCTCCACAGCTGCTCCCTCTAACCCTAACCCTGCACTGGTGTTTACCAGAGCAGACCCTGGTGCTCTTAAACCTGGACAGATTTGGAAAGTGATCTTGGAAAGAGAGAAACATACTTTGGAAGTGTTCTGGTTTGTGTCTCCATGAAGTGTATTTAATCTGAACAAATCACTTTCTCAGGTTAGAGACAATAAAACTGCAGGTTCATATATATATATGTAATATATATATATATATTGCAGTATATACATTTCAAATCAAATCTTTATTTGTAGAGCACATTTAAAACAGCCTAGGCTTACCAAAGTGCTGAACAGACAGCGAGAAAAATAAATAGTAAACACTGGTCGTGGGTTCGAGCCCACCATGACCCATGTCATCCACTTCCACTGATGTCGTGTCCTTGGGCAAGAAACTTAACCTCACATTGTCTGAAGCCCCCACTGAAAGATCAAAGCTCCTGTGGCCCCCCACCTGCAGGAGGATCAGAGACTGGTGCTGTGAGACTTGGGCCGCTCTGATGGCCACAGATTAGAGATGTGTGAAACTGGATCTGTGGTCAAATGCTTTTATTGGGTCTGAACCGAGCATTACACCATCGCTCTAAACTTTATGGACCGACACGCGTTTATTCTTTGATTTCTTTTGTTAAAGTCAGTTTCCAGGAATCCAAATTCAGATTCCTGTGAGCGGCTGCTTTAGAAACTAAAGACCACAGCATAAGTATAATGTATATTTTATATGTATGTTAACATTTAAAGTTGGAGCTCATCATGAAACAAACAAAACAAAGTTTCAGTTTTTATTTCACATTGACGGCAATTCCTTTGTAACCGTTTAAACACCACAGCGCCACCTACAGTCAGAAGTGAGCAGCAGACGATGCACTTTGGGCTTTGTCAAATTAAATTACAATAAAAAAAAGAATAAGACTTTAGAGTTGATCTTAAGCTCTTAAGCTCTTAGAGAGCGACAGTTTCCTCTGTGCAAGTGCTTCTGTTTAAGGCAGAGGGGAACGAGACCGAGGAGAGGATCAGCACGAGCCAGAGGCAGAAAGGAACGAGACTGAGAAGAGGATCAGCACAAGCCACTGAGGCAGAAAGGAACAAGACCGAGAGGATCAGCACAAGCCACTGAGGCAGAAAGGAACGAGACCGAGAGGATCAGCACAAGCCACTGAGGCAGAGGATCAGGACGAGGAGAGGAGGCACTAAGAGGAGACTCAGAGCAGAAACATGTTTCATTCTTTAACTGAAGGTAAACGACAGAATCCTCTCACATTCCATCCTTAGAACATACAGACGCCACTTTCCAAAGTTACTTTATTTTCTTTGAAAATGACCTTTCATTGATAGACAGATGGAATTTGTCACAGTCTTAGAACATCCGTGTCCCGCTCCTCTCCCTCTGCTCTGGCTGATGGTTCAGATGGTCCGCTCGGATAGTTCTGATGGTCTTGGTTCTGCTCAGTAGCGGTAGTGGTCCGGTTTGAAGGGACCCTCTTGGGGCAGACCCAGGTATTTGGACTGTTTCTCCGACAGTTTGGTGAGTTTCACACAAAGTTTGTCCAGATGTGCAGCTGCCACCTGTTCGTCCAACTGCAACAAAAACAAACTGTTAGCCTTTATTAGCTGTTAGCCATTGCTAACAGAGCTAACATTAGCCAACGCCGCCTTGACAGCTAACGAAAGCGGGCTCCAACATGTGGTGCATTGATCCAAGTGTGATTTCAACCCTTTCCTTTGAATTCACCGTTTCCAAGGAAACTCAAACGTCAGGCTAATGATGACCGTTTCATTGAACACAAAGATATTCTGATTCGCAGAATTAGTTTTAAGTGTAGGTGTGTGTAAGAGTAGTAATTTTCATCATAGGTACACTGAGAGACAGAATGTGAAACAAAAATCCAGGAATTCACATTGTAGGATTTTAAAGAATTTATTTGTAAATTATGGTGGACAATAAGTATTTGGTCACTTCAAACAAGGAAGATCTCTGGCTCTCACAGACCTGTAACTTCTTCTTTAAGAAGCTCTTCTGTCCTCCACTCGTTACCTGTATTAATGGCACCTGTTTGAACTCATCTGTATAAAAGACACCTGTCCACAGCCTCAAACAGTCAGACTCCAAACTCCACTATGGCCAAGACCAAAGAGCTGTCCAAGGACACCAGGAAAAGAATTGTAGATTCACTCTTCCCTGTCTGGTGCAAGTCTACAATAGGCAAGCAGCTTGGTGGGAACACCAAGCTGCAACTGTGGGAGCAATTATCAGAAAATGGAAGACATACAAGACCACTGATAATCTCCCTCAATCGCAAGATCTCATCCCGTGGGGTCACAATGATCATGAGAACGGTGATCAAAAATCCCAGAACCACACGGGGGGACCTGGTGAATGACCTGCAGAGAGCTGGGACCAAAGTAACAAAGGTTACCATCAGTAACACACTATGACGACAGGGAATCAAATCCTGCAGTGCCAGACGTGTCCCCCTGCTGAAGCCAGTGCATGTCCAGGCCCGTCTGAAGTTTGCCAGAGAGCACATGGATGATCCAGGCCCGTCTGAAGTTTGCCAGAGAGCACATGATGATACAGCAGAGGATTGGGAGAATGTCATGTGGTCAGATGAAACCAAAGTACAACTGTTTGGTATAAACTCAACTCGTCGTGTTTGGAGAAAGAAGAATACGGAGTTGCATCCCAAGAACACCATACCTACTGTGAAGCATGGGGGTGGAAACGTCATGCTTTGGGGCTGTTTTTCTGGCTGGGTCTTCCAGCATGACAATGATCCCAAACACACCGCCCGGGCAACGAAGGAGTGGCTCCGTAAGAAGCATTTGAAAGTCCTGGAGTGGCCTAGCCAGTCTCCAGACCTCAACCCCATTGAACATCTGTGGAGGGAGCTCAAAGTCCGTATTGCTCGGCGACAGCCCCGAAACATCACTGCTCTCGAAGATCTGCATGGAGGAATGGGCCAAAATACCAGCTACTGAGTGTGCAAACCTGGTAAAGACCTATAGTAATCGTTTGACCTCTGTAACAATACTTTTATTGCCAACAAAGGTTGAGTTGAATTTGTTATGGAACAAATACTTATTTCCACCATAATTTACAAATAAATTCTTTAAAAATCCTACAATGTGAATTCCTGGATTTTTTTTTCACATTCTGTCTCAGTTGAAGTGAACCTATGATGAAAATTACAGACCTGTCATTATTTTAAAGTAGTATTAGAATTTAATATGCTGCTATCCAGAATATATAACTACAATATGTGTTTATAATATTTCGGGTGTTCATTTGGACATGTTCAGATGAATTATGTAAAAAAAAAAAAAAACTGCTTTGAAGTGGCACTTTTTCACTTCCGCATAGAAACGCTAGGGGGAGCCAAAATGTCGGCGATGACGTAGGAGAAGGACCTCTCACAGCAGCAGCAGTCTGGGCTGAATCTGTAGGAGGTTTGACTGTCATCTGAACAAGGTTTTGTACATAATAGTGCGCAACTCTTTTAACCTTTTAGCCTTATTTGTGAGATTCAAGCTAATTAGTGTTGGGCAAGTTAGCTAACTCTACTTGATATCATAAAACATGCTAACAAGGCTAATATTCGTTTTTACATTATGCCAGTCTCACTTTGCCTTAGATTTATTTACTACAATGTACATTGTAATATCCATAAATGCTAACACCTATTAACGGTTTAATTAGCATTTTTATCAATGATTGCATCACATGTAGTCTATGTTTTCAACTTCTGCAGCTTTTTGTTCATAAAAGTAAAATATTTAACTTAAGTTATTTTGATTAGCATTTATGGATATTACAATGTACATTGTGGTAAATAAATCTAAAGTAACCAAAGTGAGACTGGCATAATGTAAAAACCAATATTAGCCTTGTTAGCATGTTTTATGATATCAAGTAGAGTTGGCTAACTTGCCCAACACTAGTTTGCTTGAATCTCACAAATAAGGCTAAAAGGTTAAAAGAGTTGCACACTATTATGTACAAAACCTTGTTCAGATGACAGTGAAACCTCCTACAGATTCAGCCCAGACTGCTGCTGCTGTGAGAGGTCATTCTCCTACGTCATCGCCGACATTTTGGCGCCGCCTAGTGTTTCTATGTGGAAGTGAAAGTGCTATTTCAAAGCCGTTTTTTTTAACATAATTCATCTGAACATGTCCAGATGAACACACGAAATATGATAAACACATATTAGTTATATATTCTGGATAGCAGCATATTACATTCTAGTACTATAAGTGGGAGAACTTGCACAATCGGTGGCTGACTAAATACTCTTTTTGCCCCACTGTAATTATATCCTGCACTGAATATATTTTTAACCTTAAACATGTTTCACACTTCTGTCTTTGCACAATCTGGAGAAATGTACATGTCAGCGTGTGTGTTAATGTGTGTAGGCGTGTGTGTGTTAATGTGTGTAGGCGTGTGTGTGTTAATGTGTGTAGGCGTGTGTGCATACTGACCCTCTTTGGCAGGAAGTAGACTCCAATAGGATAATCCTTTGTGTTTTTCCACAACTCAATTTGAGCCAAAACCTACAAACACAGATTCAGACTCAGTGAAAGCAGCGGTGGCGGTGATGAGGCAGCAGTGAGAGCGTGTCGGGGGCGATGAGGCAGCAGTGAGAGCGTGTCGGCGGTGATGAGGCAGCAGTGAGAGCGTGTCGGGGGCGATGAGGCAGCAGTGAGAGCGTGTCGGGGGCGATGAGGCAGCAGTGAGAGCGTGTCGGGGGCGATGAGGCAGCAGTGAGAGCGTGTCGGGGGCGATGAGGCAGCAGTGAGAGCGTGTCGGGGGTGATGAGGCAGCAGTGAGAGCGTGATGAGGCAGCAGTGAGAGCGTGTCGGGGGCGATGAGGCAGCAGTGAGAGCGTGTCGGCGGTAATGAGGCAGCAGTGAGAGCGTGTCGGGGGTGATGAGGCAGCAGTGAGAGCGTGTCGGGGGTGATGAGGCAGCAGTGAGAGCGTGTCGGGGGCGATGAGGCAGCAGTGAGAGCGTGTCGGGGGTGATGAGGCAGCAGTGAGAGCGTGTCGGGGGCGGTGATGAGGCAGCAGTGAGAGCGTGTCGGGGGCGGTGATGAGGCAGCAGTGAGAGCGTGTCGGGGGCGATGAGGCAGCAGTGAGAGCGTGTCGGCGGTAATGAGGCAGCAGTGAGAGCGTGTCGGGGGTGATGATGAGGCAGCAGTGAGAGCGTGTCGGGGGTGATGAGGCAGCAGTGAGAGCGTGTCGGGGGCGGTGATGAGGCAGCAGTGAGAGCGTGTCGGGGGCGGTGATGAGGCAGCAGTGAGAGCGTGTCGGGGGCGATGAGGCAGCAGTGAGAGCGTGTCGGCGGTAATGAGGCAGCAGTGAGAGCGTGTCGGGGGTGATGATGAGGCAGCAGTGAGAGCGTGTCGGGGGCGGTGATGAGGCAGCAGTGAGAGCGTGTCGGGGGCGATGAGGCAGCAGTGAGAGCGTGTCGGCGGTAATGAGGCAGCAGTGAGAGCGTGTCGGGGGTGATGAGGCAGCAGTGAGAGCGTGTCGGGGGTGATGAGGCAGCAGTGAGAGCGTGTCGGGGGCGATGAGGCAGCAGTGAGAGCGTGTCGGGGGCGATGAGGCAGCAGTGAGAGCGTGTCGGGGGCGGTGATGAGGCAGCAGTGAGAGCGTGTCGGGGGCGGTGATGAGGCAGCAGTGAGAGCGTGTCGGGGGTGATGAGGCAGCAGTGAGAGCGTGTCGGGGGTGATGAGGCAGCAGTGAGAGCGTGTCGGGGGTGATGAGGCAGCAGTGAGAGCGTGTCGGGGGTGATGAGGCAGCAGTGAGAGCGTGTCGGGGGTGGTGATGAGGCAGCAGTGAGAGCGTGTCGGGGGTGATGAGGCAGCAGTGAGAGCGTGTCGGGGGCGGTGATGAGGCAGCAGTGAGAGCGTGTCGGGGCGGTGATGAGGCAGCAGTGAGAGCGTGTCGGGGGCGGTGATGAGGCAGCAGTGAGAGCGTGTCGGGGGTGATGAGGCAGCAGTGAGAGCGTGTCGGGGGCGGTGATGAGGCAGCAGTGAGAGCGTGTCGGGGGCGATGAGGCAGCAGTGAGAGCGTGTCGGCGGTGATGAGGCAGCAGTGAGAGCGTGTCGGCGGTGATGAGGCAGCAGTGAGAGCGTGTCGGGGGCGATGAGGCAGCAGTGAGAGCGTGTCGGGGGCGATGAGGCAGCAGTGAGAGCGTGTCGGGGGCGATGAGGCAGCAGTGAGAGCGTGTCGGGGGCGATGAGGCAGCAGTGAGAGCGTGTCGGGGGTGATGAGGCAGCAGTGAGAGCGTGTCGGGGGCAATGAGGCAGCAGTGAGAGCGTGTCGGGGGCGATGAGGCAGCAGTGAGAGCGTGTCGGGGGTGATGAGGCAGCAGTGAGAGCGTGTCGGGGGTGATGAGGCAGCAGTGAGAGCGTGTCGGGGGCGATGAGGCAGCAGTGAGAGCGTGTCGGGGGCAATGAGGCAGCAGTGAGAGCGTGTCGGGGGTGATGAGGCAGCAGTGAGAGCGTGTCGGGGGCGGTGAGGCAGCAGTGAGAGCGTGTCGGGGCGACCCTAACCTGGTTGGTGAAGGAGTTACTCATGACGAAGGACGGGTGACCCATGGCACAGCCCAGGTTCACCAGACGACCCTCGGCCAAAATGATCACGTGACGCCCATTTTTCAGCCGGTACCGGTCCACCTGACGACAGAACCAATACAAACAGACCATTTACAGAACACTGATAGGGTTTTTCTTCAAGAAATGAACCCTAGAAACTAAACCCATCCATGTCCTCAAGAAACACTTGGTCGCCTTCGAACAACTGGGCCGTACCTGTGGTTTGACGTCGATCTGGGCCGTACCTGTGGTTTGACGTCGATCTGGGCCGTACCTGTGGTTTGACGTCGATCTGGGCCGTACCTGTGGTTTGACGTCGATCTGGGCCGTACCTGTGGTTTGACGTTGATCTTGGCCGTACCTGTGGTTTGACGTCGATCTTGGCCGTACCTGTGGTTTGACGTTGATCTTGGCCGTACCTGTGGTTTGACGTTGATCTTGGCCGCACAGTTCTTGTTGAGCCAGTCCACATCGATCTCGCAGTCGAAGTGTCCGATGTTGCACACGATGGCGTCGTCTTTCATCTGCTCAAAATGACTGGAAACAAATTGTTGTTTAGAACATGGCCCACCGGGCCACGCCCCCCACCGGGCCGTCAGACTAACCCATGACTTAATTGATATTCCAGTGGCGTTCACCACAGATTCTGATTTCATCCTAAACACCTAAAAGACTTTACAGCTGCTTGAAAATTTGGATGAATTAACCCTTTAGGCGCCAGAGTTTAAAATAAATAGAGTGAGAAAATATACAATTTTGATTAAGATTTCAAAAGGCTATAGCTTTAAAATGGTTTGAGATAAAGGCATACTGTAAATTAGAAATATCTTCAGTTTGAACCAAACTGAAGATATTTTTCATATTGTGACGTCATCAAGGTGGCGGCCATTTTGGAAAATGTTAATGATTGAATTAAGACTTCAAAAAGCTGTAGCTTGGGAGTTATTTGAGATCAGGGAATACTATAAACAGTCAATGTGAAATATCTTTAGTATGAAATTAATTTTAGATAGAAATAAATTCCCTGATCCAGATTATACATAATGTTTTAGCACTAGTTCGCGGCCATATGAAATTGTATTATTTTCAAAGACCTTCAGTGATCAAGACAGCACTCTTTATAGTTTACAGTCATGAAATCTGGAGATTGGTTTCAATATTTCCCTTTCAAAAGAAGTGGTGAGCTTACTATTTTTATCAGTGGAAATGAGGCTCCAGGATTTATCGTTTAGAAACAGATGAAATGAATGGGCACAGAACTTGTCAGATCGTCTCAACAAGAAACAACAGGCTCTTCAACACTTCTGATCCACTTTTGTGGATTATTTTCTCTCAAGAACTGCCTTCATCCTCATCATCACTGGTGAAGGCAGTGAACGCGATTAGCAATGTGTTTTTTTCCCGCGACTTCTCACGTGTTCCCCGTGGATGTCTACTAGGGTTGGGCGATATTTTTGTTGTACCGGTATAAGTAAATTAAATTATAAGAAAATGCCTTATACCGGTGAAAACGATCATTTAACACTGAAAACAGCGAGCGGAAGACACGTTTGTGTGCGGCGCACTTTGATGATGCATCTGCGCGACACGTGTAGCAGAGCGGCGTGCAGGGACAACAACAACAGAGCAGAGAGCAAACATGGCTGAGGGCGGCGGTGAAGACCATGGTGAAGACCATGGTGAAGACATGCAGATTGTAGAAGACATTGTGCCAAAACGCGGAGCTACCTCAAACATATGGGAGTAGTTTGGGAACTAGATAAAAAGACGCAATTGTGTGTAACTATCGACAGTGGATCTAATGTTGTGAAAGCAGCTGCCCTAAACAACTGGACTCGAGTGGCTTGCTTCGGACACACTCTCTCTCTCTCTGCCATTGGTAAGCTTTATTTACTGTTTACTGTCATTCATTTTACTTCAATGCATGTGTTTGTCTACATTGCAATATAATTACAAATAAGTTATAATTACATAATTATAGAAACGCAAAAGGATACAAAAAATATATACAGTATTTGATCATTTTGACTATATTGGGATTAGGAAACATAAGCCAAAGTGATCAAATAATTATTTGATAATGCTACACTTTTTATATTACAAAGGACAAACTTTTATATATTTTACAAATTACAAATGTTCACCTTTATGACATGTTGCCTGCAATTTTCAGTATGTACAAAACAGAATTCTCTACAATTCAGTTTTGTTAATACGTTTTATATACAATAGCTGTATTACACATTTTGCTGCCAATAAATCAGTAAATGCACTTTGAGGCAAGTGTGTTTAAAATTATCAGTGCTAAGTTTTTATAGCTTTTATATGAGGCTTTGTTAAAATTATCATATCGTCATATCGTGATACATACCAACAAAAATCGTGATACATGCCGAGGCCCATATCGCCCAACCCTAATGTCTACCCCCACTACTTTCTCCCACATGCCCGGTGTTATGATGCCCCTGTCCCCTCCACCACGGCCCCTGCTTGGCGTTCACAGAATGCTTCTACCGCGGCCACACGGAGGACAAGCAGCCGCTGTACAGGGACTGATTGTGGACTCTATGGAGCGCTGTCTCCCCGTCACTAATAATGTCTGTCTGCTTCACTGGACACCTGCGTGTCTTCCTCCTCTGAATCTGAGTGAGCCAGTACCAGACCAAGTACTTCTCTGGTACTGAAGACCTCGTGAGTAAAATAAAAAACACTCTCTCCCTCTGCTCTGTTCTCGCTCCTCTCAGCTCTACCGCTGCTGCTTCGCCTCCGCGCTGCAGCGCCGCAGGTGTTTTACCAACTCAATTTACTCAAAAACTTCCAATATAACCACACCCACAAATGCTGCTCATATTACAGGCACACATGTCCACTAACCCCTGGTGACAAGTATTAACAAGATTCTGCACCACATTTTTACATACAGCCTGTTTAAGTGAGCAATGTTGCTTGTCGCAATATTGCAACTTTGGCGCTTAAAGGGTTAAAATAGATTCATTTGTTGAGAACGTCCATTTTCTGAACATTTGATACATTTATTATTTTTGTGACTGGGTGAGCCCGTCCCTGAGCACGCTGTCCCACGGAGCGCATGTGAAGATGCGCGCGCCCGGTGCCATGGTGGCTGCGCGCAACGGCCAAGCCCATTCATTGACTACTGCTAGGGACTGTGTTTGTGACATGTAGCGTGCGTGAACGCGTCTTCAGGGTGCACACTTGGAAGCGTTGCATGGTGTGTTAAATCTGTTACATGTGTCATTCACTCGCCTGTGCTGGCGTGGTCGTGGTGTCTCCATGGTGCGTTTTGGCAAACCCGGACACAAGGAGCCATAGGATTAAATGCACCTGTCTGTGGGTCATGTGACCACAGCTCATTTGCATGGACATTTGGACTCTTCGTAGTGTGCTCATAATTTATTTCATTGTATATGTGTCAATGTAGAATTGTAATGTGAAATCATGAACCTAAGGAAAGCGCCATGTATTGTAGATATGGTTGGTTATTAGGATGATTGGTTTCGTAATGTGGGAGGGGCCGGCAGGGTACATAAGGTGTGCTTGTCTGCCCCATGGCAGTCGTGACTCGGTTACAGTGAAGGTAACGTGGACTGCAGGAGCAAGTGTTACAGTATAGGGAAAAGAGACTTATTGCAGAAGTCGTGTATATTTTTATTTGTAAATATCCTTTTCGCCTGAAGACTTTTCACTGTGCTCTGTAAATACGTGTTTTGTAATTTCCCACTGTTTTTTCTACTGAGAGTTTTTAATTAAAAACTTCTGAAAACGCCCTTTCCGACCAAGCCTTGTGTTCTGTAAAAAGAACAATTTTTATAAATTATTTCACTTCCGAGGATTTGCTTCGATCAAAGTCAAAAGCTGTACATTTTCTAAACCACCCTCCTTCATTTAACCAACGAGTTATAAACACCCCCCCCCTCCCCTCAGACCTCCACCTTCCCCCTCCCTGCAGACCTCCACCTTCCCCCTCCCTGCAGACCTCCACGTTCCCCCCCTCCCTGCAGACCTCCACCTTCCCCCTCCCTGCAGACCTCCACCTTCCCCCTCCCTGCAGACCTCCACCTTCCCCCGCAACCGTTTAAATCCTTTGAGAACGATCTGAGGCTGGTGAGTTCGATAAGCTTTAAAAACGTCTTTTTGGTTAAATCCCAGCGTGACTCACTGTCCGTTGATGATGTCCTCGCAGCCGGTGGTGGTGACAAAGATGTTGCCCTCCTGACAGGCCTCGTCCATCGTCGTCACCTCGTAACCTTCAGGCAGAAACAGACTTTTAAAACCTCTTAAACTCTTACATCTGTTTTGGCTCGTGCACAAAAAAAGTTTGGCATACCCAAATGTCTTTGCTTATTTAAAAACATGCTTATTTAAAAACACATCTTACATCTCACATGCTTGTGTGATGCATCATTTTAAAGATAAACTAGAAGGGCCTATGTAAATATACACTGAAATAATGTATGTCATTCCTATTTCACTCTGCATCCTTTGAAGTTTGGGGGAAAAAAACAGGTTTATTTAGCCTCGCTTAAAAAATTCAATGTATAAATGCCCTAAAAAAGCCGACTTCATTGGAAGAAAAATTTCAAAGCCAATTTGTTCATTGTGTTGTTGACAACAACTGTGTAAAGTTTCAGACTTCTAAGTTTTATAGTTTTTATGCAGTTTCTCTTTTTTTATCAAGTAGTGCCATTCGGAGTTTTTTAGTTTTGGTACTTATAAGTTACAAATCTGTGATTTTAACATTTTTTCAAAATTATTTTTTTAGTAGTGTAAATGCATATAAAATATGCGCAGCAGTATTAACAGCGTCTTTGCCCCCGCTTTTACTGTGAAAATGAAAAGAGTTCCTACAAGTCCCACCCATCAAAAGAAAGCTCTTTTTATTGGCTACTTAGACACGTCAATCATTCAGTGCTAGCTCATTGCGCTAGCCATGCTAATCAAAAACGGACCCTCTGCAAATGGATGCGGTTTGTCTTTTTCACAAGGGTCCTGCGGACTGAAACCTGCTCCTATCTTTTCATGGAACCTCTCTTTTTGAAGCTAAGGACTCAAGGAACACGTGGATATGATGTTTGTGGCTAAACAAAGCTCAAACTTGGTGAAATGTGAAAGAAGCCTGAACCTTTTTCGGAGCGTTTTTTTTGCAACAGAAAAATGCATTTTTGGATTATTTCTGAAGAATGGATTATACTTTGGGAAATACAAGTGGATATTCTTTTTCAATTAAGACTTACAGAGAGAAAGAGACTGAGCAAGGATGGGGAAAGTCTAATTTGTTGGAGCAGCAGGAGACGAAAGGTAAGAAACTTATACAAACACGATTTTTGTGTGCCCATATTATGAGTTATATCTTTTTAATGCAAAGTCTGATATCGTTTACACTTGCATATAAATATAGCTGAGAAAATATTTTCTCGTTTGCTTTGGTTTGCGAGAGGTTAAACTTTAACTATATTTGACCTTTTCTTCTCTTCCGCTTAACAGATCCAGCCCTTCCATCTACAAGCCTTTCCACAAAGTCCTTTTACAGAGTCCCTGGCTCAGAAACCGTGTTCCCAGACACTCACCCTCCATCGCTGCCTGCAGAGCGTTGATGGGGTCGATCTCCGTGACAATGACCCTCGCACCAAAGCCCCGCAGCGCCTGCACGCAGCCTTTGCCCACGTCTCCGTAGCCAGCGACCACCGCCACCTTCCCGGCAATCATCACGTCTGTGGCTCTCTTTATGCCGTCGATCAGGGACTCACGGCATCCATACAAGTTATCAAACTTACTCTGCAAAACAATACGGGTTATCAAACTGACTCTACAACACATTACAGGTTATCAAACTGACTCTTAACTAACTCTGGACCGTGTCAGGATGTAAACAGAGGATCTTAAGCCCCGTCCCAATTCTCACCCTTGTGCTGGATGTAGCTTGTGCCCGCGGGGGGTGCGTCCCAATACTTAGGGAGCAGAGGGGGCCTCCACCCTTGCCCTGAGTGAGCTCTGGACCACACCTGGGGCGAGGGTGATCCCATGATGCATTAGGAAAGTTGGTAAACTCAAATTATGCATTAGGACAAGTTTGTGCTGAACATGTGGAAGCTTTGAAGCGTGTGTCAGAAGTTTTTTTAAAGTGTGTTTTGGCAACGTTTGCTCGCGAAGCAGCCGCAGCGTGTGACATCACTGAGTCATCCTAGTGTCGGGCTGTACACAGAGGATCCTAGTGTCGGGATGTACACAGAGGATCCTAGTGTCGGGCTGTGTACACAGAGGATCCTAGTGTCGGGCTGTGTACACAGAGGATCCTAGTGTCGGGCTGTGTACACAGAGGATCCTAGTGTCGGGCTGTGTACACAGAGGATCCTAGTGTCGGGCTGTGTACACAGAGGATCCTAGTGTCGGGCTGTGTACACAGAGGATCCTAGTGTCGGGCTGTGTACACAGAGGATCCTAGTGTCGGGCTGTGTACACAGAGGATCCTAGTGTCGGGCTGTGTACACAGAGGATCCTAGTGTCGGGCTGTGTACACAGAGGATCCTAGTGTCGGGCTGTGTACACAGAGGATCCTAGTGTCGGGCTGTGTACACAGAGGATCCTAGTGTCGGGCTGTGTACACAGAGGATCCTAGTGTCGGGCTGTGTACACAGAGGATCCTAGTGTCGGGCTGTGTACACAGAGGATCCTAGTGTCGGGCTGTGTACACAGAGGATCCTAGTGTCGGGCTGTGTACACAGAGGATCCTAGTGTCGGGCTGTGTACACAGAGGATCCTAGTGTCGGGCTGTACACAGAGGATGTGGGGACTGACCTTGGTGACGGAGTCGTTGACGTTGATGGCTGGGATCTTCAGTTCTCCGCTCTTCATCATCTTGTACAGGTTGTGGACTCCTGTGGTCGTCTCCTCAGACACACCTTTGATCCCTGAAACACAGATGTTTCCCTGATGTTGAACCAAACAGGACAGTAGTACCATCAGAACTAGGGGTGCAACGGTTAGAAAAAAAAAGAAAAAAATCACGGTTCAGTTAGTCTTTTGAAGTTGAACGAAATGTATTTGATAATTTAAACTTTTTTTTATTTGACACAGAAAAAGAAAAAAAAAACATGTACAAAACAGACATGTAAGGAACCATTCAAAACATCAATGTTCACAATTCGACCATAGCAACCTTTGTGTTAATTATAGCACACATACCAATTCAGCAGTCACAACTTGTGCAAGTCCTGAGATTTGCAAACGTATACCTTCCATTTGTCCCATTTTTCCTCAAATTTGTCCTCTTTCAGTCTTAGAGCAAATGTAATTTTTTCCATTATATAAATTTCCTGTATGATATCTGTCCACTCAGTCCGGTTGGGGGGCTCAGGTTTAAGCCACCTCTTCGTTATGGCTTTTCTTGCAGCGGTTAACAATATTTTCACCAGGTACTGATCCTGTAAATCAACCACATCAAAAATATTGCCAAGATATAGCACTGCTGGTGTGCAAGGTAAACTATATTGTAGTATGTCAGACAGTGATGAGTGTATCCAGTTCCAATAAGGTTTGATCAGTGGCAGGTCCAGAAGATGTGTGTGTGATTTGCATCAGCAGTACCACAATGTCTCCAACACATCTGCTGGTTAGCAAGCTGCCTGCTTTTTATATGGGGTGTAATAAAAAAACGAATAACATTTTTCCAATTGAATTCTCTCCACTTTGGAGAAGTGGTAGAAGACTGAGCCAGCTCACAAATTCTGTACCAGTCCTGATCTGAAATGGTAATGGCCATCTCCTTCCCCCACTTCTCTTTGACATACAATGTTGCGTCATTCTGACTGGCCATCAGACTTGTGTAGAATTTTGAGACTATCTTTTTTGTTTTTTGTTGATATGCACCAATTATAGTTTCCAAAACTGGATTTATGTCCGTTTTGTTTCTGATTTCTTTATTAAAATATTCACGTATTTGTAGATAGCGAAAAAAATCTTGATTGGCCAGACCAAATGTCGCTTTTAAATCCTGAAAGCTTCTCATCTCATTGTTTTTAGTAACTGTGAGGAAGGAAGTGACACCCTTATGGATCCAGCTTTTGAATGTTATATCATGCTTTGCCGCTTTGAAATTGCTATCTAAATATATCCATCTTAATACTTTTCTTTGTGACTTCAGTTTCAATTGTCTTGCGATTTTGTACCAAGTGTCAATTGTGAATATTGTCACTGGACTAAGTTGAGCTTTAATATCACTAGGTATGTCATCTTCTCCCAGCACAGTTTGAATATGGTATTTGGGTAAACATGTTTCGATCTCTTTCCACTTAGAATAGTACACAGGATCACACCAACAGCATAAATATCGCAATTGAGCAGCATAAAAATACAACCTCAAATTTGGGAGGGCCATGCCGCCCTGTGCTTTAGTCAGCTGTAGCGTTGAGTACCTGACTCTTGCCTTCTTTCCGTCCCAAATGAATCTGGATATCATTCGATCCCATTCTATGAATTGTTTAGCAGGTATGTCTACAGGGAGCGACTGGAATAAGAGCAATCTTGGCAGAGTGTTCATTTTTATCACATCTATCCTATTTGTGAAATCTAAGGGATAAGTGGACCATCTTTGAATATCTGATTTTATGTTTTGATTGATTGGATTAAAATTAGCCTCATACAAGCGTGATGGGTCCTTTGTCAAAAACACTCCTAGATACTTCATTTTTTTACTATCCCACTTTATTTTGTATTCCTGCATAATTTCTTGTGAGGGTTTGTGGTTGAAAATTAGAATTTGGGTTTTAAGAATGTTTAAGTTGTATCCAGCATGAGAGGCAAATGTGCCTAAGAGGTTCATTAGTTTATGTAGGGAGGTGTTAATGTCTTTAATGAATAGTAGCACATCATCTGCAAATAATCCTATCTTTTGTTCTCTGTCATTAATCTTAATGCCTTTCAGATCCTCAGCCTGGCGTATAGCCTGGGCCAGAGGCAGTTCAAATCTGTCTGTCAGAGATCCATTTACTTTGATTCTTGCCGTCGGCCGGTCATAGATTGATCTGATACATTTGATCGAGTCTTGGTTTAGGCCAAATTTCTCTAATGTTTGATACAGGAATTCCCAATTCACACGATCGAAAGCCTTTTCAGCATCAAGGCTGATTAAAGCTGCTTTCAGTTTATGTTTAGATATAGTGTGAATTATATGCAAACTACGTCTGATATTATCCTGAGTTTGTCTTCCTGCCACAAAGCCAGTCTGATCTTTATTTCTTTTAGGGACTCAGGATCTTTCTTAAATTTTAGTTTGTGTTCTTGGTCCTTCAAGTTACCCAATAATTTGGTATATTGTTCAATTCTCTTTCTTTTGGAACGCTGCTATGGCTATTAATTTTCCCCTCAGGAATGCTTTTAATGAGTCCCACAATATTAATGGATCAACCTGGCCATTGTCATTATCCTCAATAAAGGTTTTTATCTCGTTTTTAATACAATCAACAGTGACGTTGTTGAGCAGCCCCACATTCAGTCTCCAACCCGTGCTCCTTGTTCTCCAGGTTTATAGTTAAATAGATAGAGTTGTGATCAGAGACATCTGATCACATCTGAGGGCGGCACGGTGGCTGAGAGGTTAGCACTCTCGCCTCTCAGCAAGAAGGTCCTGGGTTAGAATCCCGGTCGGACCAGGGCCTTTCTGAGTGGAGTTTGCATGTTCTCCCCGTGTCTGCGTAGGTTTCCTCCGGGTACTCCGGTTTCCCCTACCACTAAAAATATGTCCAATAGTTCTGGCATGCGCCTCCTGTACTGGCCCCGCTCCCATCTCTGTGTGGAGTGAGAGACTAATGCCCAAAATTAACAATTGTAAACCGCTTTGAGACTCAGATCTGCAGTGAAAAGGCGGTATATAAATAAAAACTAACTAAATCTGCTACTCCGATTCTACATTCAGTTACTCTGTATTGGTCTTCTTGTCCCATTAGAAAGTAATCTATTCTGGAGTGTACCGCATGGGTACAGAGTAATGCGTGTAGTCTCTATCAAGAGGATGAAGTTTTCTCCATACATCTACCAGACCTCCCCAAGAGTGGCACAGTGTTGCTTTGTTAACTTTTTCTTGCTCCTGTTTTTACTAGTGGTATCCATGTTTAAATCCAGCACTGCATTGAAATCACCTCCACATATACAAATTCCTTCAGTCTCCTTTGTTATAATATCAAACATTACTTTATAGAAACCTCTGTCAATTTCGGGAGGAGCATAAATGTTTACCAATGTTATAAGGCTATTTCCAATGGTGCCTTTTGGAAATAAGTATTGCTACTCCTCTTCTGTGACTTTGTGAGAATGAACTGTAAAATATATCTCTATATCCAAATTTAACTAATTTATCATGCTCTTTGTCACTCAGGTGTGTTTCCTGAAGCAGAATAATGTGTGCATCATCTTTTTTTAACTTATTCATTACCCTTGCTCTTTTAACAGCATTTCCTAACTCATTAACATTTAGAGACAAGATTTTCAATGTTTGACTCTGCATTGGTTTAGTAAGAATTTAACTGCATGGTTGCTGGTCATTTTTAACAAAACAAAAAAAACATAAAACAAGAACATGGCCATAAAGAACATAGGTTGTGTGGCTCTTAAACAAAAATAAAGTAAAACATTTTGAATTCCAAGGTAGGGCGTTTCAGTACCCTCACTAAAACCTACAGGCGGGGGGGGAAAACCTCCCTGAGAAAGAGGACCCCCTTCCAGAACAGTGGCTGACCCCTTTGAAAGTACTACCACTAATTCTGCCGTTGGTAAGCTCCTTTTATCAGGCCAATTAGATTACAAAAAGATGACAGTCCAAGCTTGATTAATATTTCAGTCAAATAAAGTGGAATACTGAGGAATACTAAAACACACAGCGTGTACCAGTTACCCTTGGAGACATCATCGTGTTCCTCTTTTTGAAGACTGCTCCGGGCTCATTGTCTGGGTTTACGCTGAAACTCCTGCAGTCGTTCTCGTTTCGCTGCCTCCCTCTCCCCGTGTCGGTGGGTGAGCTCCACGCGATGCCAAGGTGATGTCTGCTCCAGTTGTTGTGATGTTATTGGGCCCTCCGAAACGTGCTCTTCTGTGTGGCCAGCAAAGAAGCCCCTTTTGCGTAGTTCTCTCTCGGCGTCTCCCGCACTGTTGTACATCTGCGGTCCACTGTCCCAGTGGATTCACATCCGGGTGAATGGAGTCTGAAAGCGGACACCTCTCTCCTTCAGTGCGGCTTTGATGGCTTTATATTCCTTACGTTTCTGAATCACGTCGGTGGTGTAATCAAAGTCAAATGAAAGGATCCTGTCGCCAATCTGAATTTTCTTTTTCCAAGCGTTTCTGAGGATTGTCTCCTTTACTCTGAACTGAAGGAAGTTCACTACTATGGATCTTGGCGGAGCGTTGGGGTTCGGTCTCGGTGCGAGCGACCGGTGTGCTCGTTGTATCTGTGGATCTGTTCCTCCACTGATTAGCTTTTCATTAGCTAGCAGCCCCTCCACGAACTGAATCACCGAGCTCCCCTCGGCTCCTTCAGGCACCCCGTAGATTCTCATATTGTTCCTTCTCGACCTAGATTCCAAGTCGTTCACTTTATCCTGTAGCGCACTTTGCTCGTTTAGGGTGTATTCAGACCTGAAAAGTCCTTTGCTCCGCTTGCTTGATCCGAATCAAAAGTGGACCAAACTTTTTTTCTTTTGCTCCGGTTCCTATTCAGACTGTCCTTTTTGCAAGTGAACTTTTTTATATAAACATATTGACACATGTGACGATCGGCTCCTATTGGACAGAGAGAGCTCACGGAGGATAGACGCGGAACCGGAGGAAAACATTGCGGGCTCGTATCTGCAGCATGTCTGCTCTGCCTCTGTTTGCTCTTTTTAGAACAAAACCACCTTCAACATCAACAGCAGCTCATATGACACAGGCCAAACACGTTGTTTTAAATATTGGAACAGCGTCGGAGAACGCGTGAGGAGAAAGCCGAAGGAGACTGTCTGTGCGCGCCGTGTCCTGTCCCACACATGGATCTATGATAATAACCCTGTCCCACACATGGATCTATGATAATAACTCTGTCCCACACATGGATCTATGATAATAACTGTCCCACACATGGATCTATAATAATAACCCTGTCCCACACATGGATCTATGATAATAACTCTGTCCCACACATGGATCTATGATAATAACTCTGTCCCACACATGGATCTATGATAATAACTCTGTCCCACACATGGATCTATGATAATAACTCTGTCCCACACATGGATCTATGATAATAACTCTGTCCCACACATGGATCTATGATAATAACTCTGTCCCACACATGGATCTATGATATTAACGGCCCTGTTCAGCATAGTGGATAAACCATGGATCTATAATAACCACGGGACAAACAGACGCTGAGGATCAGGTAGGAACCAAAGAACACAATTCACTACATGATGCGGAATATTGCTCTTTGAGACGTGAGTCAAACAGTGTCAGGCTTTTAATAATGCAAATGGGTTGAAGATGCTGCCATTAACATCACTGTATACTGTGAACAGTTTTAACTCCATAAGCCTGTTGCACAGCGTCTCCTCACTGCTCCAGGTCTGCACACGGCTCAGTGTTGTTGTGTAGCGTTAGCAGCATAGTTAGCAGCATAGTTAGCAGCATAGTTAGCAGCATAGTTAGCAGCATAGTTAGCAGCATAGTTAGCAGCATAGTTAGCAGCATAGTTAGCAGCATAGTTAGCCGCTGCGTGGCCAATTCCTCGAAGTTTCTGTCTGCGGCTTGTTAAGCCCAAAAAATTGCACGTATCTTGGAGTTGTGTCGGATCGACACCGGATGTATTCAGACCTGATTCGACTTGGACCAGAATTCGTTTGGAAGCGGACCGAGACCACCTCAAAAAGTGGGTCTCGGTTCGGTTCTTTGGTCCGGACCAGGATTCGTTTGTGTGTATTCAGATCTGCATAAAAGCTTTGGATCAGAGTTCCAAACGAATCCTGGTCCGTTTAAAGTGGAGCAAATGTGCAGGTCTGAATACACCCTTAGAGACCGGCTCAGCGCCTCGTTAGCCACCGCGGCCCAAGTCTCCTGCTCGTCAATGCGTGCAGCCATTTCCTCCAGCTTCTGCTCATGATCTTGTAGCTTTAGCGAAGTGGTGGCTAACTGCTGGTCAATCTGTATCTTAAACTGTGCAAACTCTTCTTTCATCTCCTTTTTGAAGTCTTCCTTGAACGTTGTCCAGTTTGCATTAAGCGTCGTGTTTAAAGACATAATTTGTTCGCTTATGTGGTTAAGTAGCTGGCTTCTTTCAGTCGAGTCATGGTCATACGCGCTAGCATGAGCATTAGCATTGCCTGCGTCTTCTTCACTTACGACTTCTGATGCCCTGTTGTCCATTTTTTTGGTATTCTTTTCTGCCATCGCTTTTATCTTAGATTTACCCTCGTTCACAATCGATATTTGCAAATAATAGAAGTGTTGAAGATGAATTAAAAGGGTTTAACAGCCTGATTTGACGGAGCGCTCAGTTCAAGCGTGCTGCGTCCCCCATTGCTCCAAGAGTTGTCTTTTTAATAAACACAGCTCATGTGGACTCGGCACCTGCTCTGACTGTACCTGCGCTGTGTGTCAGTACCTGCGCTGTGTGACTGTACCTGTGCTGTGTGTCAGTACCTGCGCTGTGTGTCAGTACCTGCGCTGTGTGACTGTACCTGTGCTGTGTGTCAGTACCTGCGCTGTGTGTCAGTACCTGTGCTGTGTGTCAGTACCTGCGCTGTGTGTCAGTACCTGCGCTGTGTGTCAGTACCTGCGCTGTGTGTCAGTACCTGTGCTGTGTGTCAGTGTGACTGTCGTAGAGGGGGCGTGTCTTCAGCGCCAGACTTTTCATCTCCCAGTCTGCGGTGATGAAGTGAGCGGTTCCGCTCATGGATCTATTATAGGTTCTGTTCATGGATCTATTATAGGTTCTGTTCATGGATCTATTATAGGTTCTGTTCATGGATCTATTATAGGTTCCGCGGGACGTCCAAGCGTCAGTCGTGAGCGCAGCTGAGGATGCGCGGGAGAGTTGACTTTAGCCCGGTCTGACTGTGCGTAAAGGAGCTGCTTAAATGCCGCGACAATAGGTGGTCGTTGAGACGCTTTTTTCTCTCATGTCCTTCTTGTGCCACAGTGCTTACACATCGTGACAGTTTTGTCGAATATTAAATATCAGTATAGTTACAGTGAAGCCAAAATGCTCTCATACTGGGGATTTAAGACGCAGGGCTTTCAAGTATCTCCGTTCCTCTGCTCGCCGTGACCACGCTGTGTGTGGACTGAACAACGTGCGCACAACTTTTTTTCATAAATTAAACCGCGGATCACGTCTGTACCGAACCGAAGACGTTGAACCGAACACATCACGGATCATTGATGAACCGTTGCACCTCTAATCAGAACCATCAGAACCAGTACCTGCCAACAGTTTGGGGTACTTGGTGTGGACCAGGTTGGTGAGGTCTCCTCCATCGTCCAGGATCATGTTCAGAGGATGACCGTCTTTGAAGTAAATGGTTTGCTCGATACACCACACGTACTCCTCGTCCGTCTCCCCTTTCCACGCGTACACTACACACACACAATTCACAATACACACACACTTCAGAATACAGTTACACACACACTTCAGAATACAGTTACACACACAATTCACAATACAGTTACACACACACACACAATTCTGTGGGTGTAGATTTCACTCCAGGATCTCTCTCAGACAGAGTCCTGGTGCAGACCTCCACCGTCTCTCTGTGCTCCTAATGACACAGCACCTCCACAAGGGGGGGCTGCAACGCCTCAAGGAGCAGGACAATACTGAGACACCTGCCCATGTGATTCCCAACCAGAGGGCCAGAACCCAAACCTTTTCATAAATATACTTCAGTCGATTTAAAATGTTGAAAAGGTTTGGATTAAAGTCCTTCCTAGAGAAAATGTATCTGAAAACAATCTCTTGAGGAGATGGGTGTGGTGTTTGTATACAGCTATAGAAACTAGGGCTGGGCGATATGGCAAAAAAGTAAAATCTCAATTTTCTTTCCTGCTATGGACAATTTTGAATCGATTTTTTTATTAAAGTCACAGAAGCCAGATTTTGCCCTCAAAAATATTTTTTTATCTTTCCGTTCAATATTCAAGTTTCAAAGATATATTTGTTTCCCCCAATACATATTATAAAAGTCTTGAACAGACTGTGCTGATATTGCAAGTATAATTCATGTGCTGCTGGAACTCTCACAATATCATTTATTTCGATTTCACGATTTAACAAATTCGATTTTTTTCAAAAGTCGATTAATTGCCCAGCCCTAATAGATACACATGCATATGAGAGCTGTGGTGTGGGTTATACATTTCATATATACACACACGAGAGTCGTGATTATTTATAATACGCACGCACATACATATATATATTTTACACACACACAAACACGAGGTGGTCACCTGGGACGCCGGTCTTGGCGATAGCGGCCGCTGCATGGTCTTGAGTGGAGAAGATGTTGCAGCTGGACCACTGCACCTGATGACAGAGAGGTTCAAAGGTTTCAGACGTTTCACTGTTTCTCTCGTACTTTAGTATTTGTATTTTTCTTTATTCTGTGGGTGTAGATTTCACTCCAGGATCTCTCTCAGAGTCCTGGTGCAGACCTCCACCGTCTCTCTGTGCTCCTAATGACACAGCACCTCCACAAGGGGGGGCTGCAACGCCTCAAGGAGCAGGCTGACCATTAACATCAAACACATTTTATACATTTATAATGAAGTTCATACGGTAAAACACATGTATACAGAGAGGTGCAGAGAGGACTCAGGACCAGGAGACTGGGTTTGGTTCTAACTCCAGACTTTATACAGGCTTCTTTTTTATGCTTTAATTTAGATAATTCACAGATTACCCACTCAGCCCAAACAGTCAGAAGGACTGGTCTGTGGGAAGCCATGTGTACCATGGTTATACAAACGTTTTACTGTACATCACTCATGGTCATGTTCAGCTCCAGCTGTAAATGATTTGGCACTTTCGGTAAAAGGTGACAACCGTGTGCACTGGCAGGTGTGCACCGGTACAGCAGGTAACCATATGTGCTTTTACTCTTCTACAGGAGACTGGCTTTGTCACTTTAACATGATTGACAGTTCAGTTAATTATGCAACACATTTATATAGTGAGTTTATCTTTAGAAAATGCTTCGCCCGTTTTAGTCTTTGGTGTTTAACTTTGGTGCAAAAGCAAACACTGAGCGCTGGATCAACAAGCAGCTGTTTTCCAACGGATACAAAGAAACTACAGACTCAGTACAGAGTCAGGACCGAGCCTGGTTATACTAGTCTTGTTTACTACCATTTGAATAGCACCTCCACCTACTCTCCCACTCTTCCAAAAGGTGAACAGTTTATTTAGAGCAGAGGGCACTGAAACTAGTCTGCTCCAGTCCAAACCACACTGTGGCAGATAAGGCCCCAGAGGACCACAGGAGAACTGTCCTTCAAACCATTTCAATCCAAGTTAATAAGTGATAGACACTTATGTATTTGTTTTTCCCATAAAGCACTATTCTCCTGACTACACACACACAATCGCAGGAAGCGCCAGGCCAGGTTTGAGAGCCTTAATATTTGGAGCAGTACCTCGGCCCCCAGTGAAGTGAGGGTCTCGATGAGGACCGCGGTCTGCAGCGTCATGTGGAGGCAGCCTGCGATACGGGCTCCTTGCAGGGGCTTGGAGGCTCCATACAACTCCCTCATCTTCATCAGGCCCGGCATCTCGTTCTCCGCAATGTCGATGGCCTTACGTCCCCATTCTGCGAGGCTGATGTCAGCTGTGGAAGAACAGGACCATTAAAAAGACAGACCACAGGAGTCACATAAGGAACATTAAAGACAGACCATGATACAGTATCAAAGAATACTGTATCATGGTCTGTCAAAATGTAGCCACTAAAATAATGATTATTGCCGATTACATTCCCGGTTTTCAAACTGTAATTGGGTGCCCACAGGATTAGTTGACTTTAAAGAACAACTCACCCTCAAATCCACTTTTTTTTGCTGATAAACTGTATAAATGAGGGTCCAAAAGTGTTGCGTACATATCATAATTTTTTCACTTTAGTGCAAATTAGTTGAAAGATCAACGTTCTGCCTAAAACAGTCTGTGAGGCGCCATCTGCAGGCGACCTGTGTTTACTACATTTGAATCTGGCGCCAACATTGGCGCAGCAGTGATACCCGACGTCAGTTGCCCTGCCGCCCAGTGAGTGTGAACAGCCCAGTCTCGTTCACGCCCCCTAGTGAAGGAAGGAATAGCAAAGAGTATTTTTATTGTCAGGTTTGCTAATAGTTATAGCATTTACGTAGGTTTTTATTAGCTAATTGCGTAGTGTTAATAGCGGTGTTGAATATTGTAGTTTAAGTCACTATTGCTTTTATTGTCAAGTGTCAATCACAGCCTAGACCCCCCCCCCAAACATTCACGCCTGTCCACTTCAGTCCTCCAGGCTACGCCCATTTGAAGAAGGAATATTTGAACAGGGGGTGAGAAGTTCTTTAAGACTTGGCTGAAATCAGGATGTTTTGCACATTTCAGTTCCACGCTGGTCGCATGGAGGTGTTTTGACCTTTCAAGACCTTTACAGTTAGTTTTGATTATTCTTCGGTAAACAATTGTAGAAGAGTTTATCTGCCGCTTCTTAAAATGTAAAATTTAAGATTATCTACAGGATTCGTGAAAATCTTGCCATTTGATCCTGGGCTAAGGAGTTAGTGACAGTTCTGTGTGGGTGTAGGTTTCACTCCAGGATCTCAAGAGTCCTGGTGCAGACCTCCACCTTCTCTGTGCTCCTAATGACACAGCATGGAAATGGAAATGGAAATGGGAGCTACATAGCTGTGCGGATTTCTCAGTTTTTATGTCTTACTTTTTTTTTTAATCCAGCACGCTAGCTCAAACTACAGGGATGTGCGGCCTTATTTGAAACTTTCCACAGCGTGAGAAGGCCTTTGGTTCTTAAAAGATAAAGTCCTGAATTATCTACTCCAAGATGTTGATTAACTGCTTTAAAATCAACGTAAATTTTTCCAGTGTGAGATCAATAAAGTATCTTAGCCATATTCAGGACACACCAACACTGATAAAATAGATGAACCGTGTGTAGGGGTGGGAACCTCAGGGTACCTCATGATACGATACGCGATACAAAGCTCACAATATGACAATTCAATACATTGGTCAGAAATATACTGTTATAGAAATCTTTTAGTAAAGCAATCTGAATAAACACGAAATAGTTATACAAGTGTAAGTTATTAACTAATTCTCAACTCTGGATTCAAATACAGCACATAACTCTGTCCCACACATGGATCTATGATAATAACCCTGTCCCACACATGGATCTATGATAATAACCCTGTCCCACACATGGATCTATGATAATAACTCTGTCCCACACATGGATCTATGATAATAACTCTGTCCCACACATGGATCTATGATAATAACTCTGTCCCACACATGGATCTATGATAATAACTCTGTCCCACACATGGATCTATGATAATAACTCTGTCCCACACATGGATCTATGATAATAACTCTGTCCCACACATGGATCTATGATAATAACTCTGTCCCACACATGGATCTATGATAATAACTCTGTCCCACACATGGATCTATGATAATAACTCTGTCCCACACATGGATCTATGATAATAACTCTGTCCCACACATGGATCTATGATAATAACTCTGTCCCACACATGGATCTATGATAATAACTCTGTCCCACACATGGATCTATGATAATAACTCTGTCCCACACATGGATCTATGATAATAACTCTGTCCCACACATGGATCTATGATATTAACGGCCCTGTTCAGCATTGTGGATAAACCATGGATCTATAATAACCACGGGACAAACAGACGCTGAGGATCAGGTATGAACCAAAGAACACAATTCACTACATGATGCGGAATATTGCTCTTTGAGACGTGAGTCAAACAGTGTCAGGCTTTTAATAATGCAAATGGGTTGAAGATGCTGCCATTAACATCACTGTATACTGTGAACAGTTTTAACTCCATAAGCCTGTTGCACAGCGTCTCCTCACTGCTCCAGGTCTGCACACGGCTCAGTGTTGTTGTGTAGCGTTAGCAGCATAGTTAGCAGCATAGTTAGCAGCATAGTTAGCAGCATAGTTAGCCGCTGCGTGGCTAATTCACAGTTTCTGTCTGCGGCTTGTTAAGCCCAAAAATGCGCACGTATCTTGGAGTTGTGTCAGATTGACACCGGATGTATTCAGACCTGATTCGACTTGGACCAGAATTCGTTTGGAAGCGGACCGAGACCACCTCAAAAAGTGGGTCTCGGTTCGGTTCTTTGGTCCGGACCAGGATTCGTTTGTGTGTATTCAGACCTGCATAAAAGATTCGGATCAGAGTTCCAAACGAATCCTGGTCCGTTTAAAGTGGAGCAAATGTGCAGGTCTGAATACACCCTTAAAAACAGTCTCAATACAAAAAGATGTTTTGTGCCACATGAAAGTTATTTGGTTTTTTAGCATATTAATAAAAACAGTTAAACTAAACGCCACAAAATAATGAATCAGACTCAGAGCATCCATTTGGTCCATACACAAACAGAGGAGTCACTAACATTAGGTATAAAGTTTCAGAAGCAGACACTGTCTGATTAAATAATGCAATGATTAACTTCTTTAGACAGCGTTTCCTGAATAGAGAAGCACAGATACATGATGGCATTATTGGTTTAATGACACAGATGGCCTGGTTTGGCCAGAGATTCACTTTTTCAACACAGTTCTGCAGCTACTTACAGGTAAAACAATCAGATGCATTTAGGGTTAGTGTTAACCCGAGCACTATCAGTTATAAATCATTTTTGTCCTCGAGGCGCCTGTTCATCTGGGATCAGCAGAAAGCCACAAAAGTTGAATAAAGAGGAAAATACTAGACATTGTTGATTGATTTACAGATTTTAAAATACCATTGCCTTTTGGGTTTAGTCTTTAGAGTAAAATAAACAGTCGAGGGAATGTCCAGGTAAATGCCATGGAAGCTCGTAGTCTGTTGCAAAACTAGACTGAGAATTTGCTCCCATTTTATGAAACTAGGACCCGCTGGTGTGCCTAGCAGATTCTATGGGGTTCATTTTGTTAAAAGATCCCACGGTAGGCCTTTGTTTTATTCCAGCTATAATTGAGTTGCAGTTCACACCCAGATTCACAGTGCGCATTAGTAATGGTCACGGACATATCTGCCTTTGGGGCACTGCTCTGGTCATTATGAGTCTGGATTGTTTTCGTGCTGCTGGACACTAGCATGAGGAGAAGGCATATTCTCTTCACTAGAAGGGTTATTTAAGTATGCGCAACTTCCATAGAATTTAAATGTTAACTATTGAATTGCAGTGTGAACATTCATCATTCATTTTAAACGTGGTCTGCAGACAGACCACGTGGGCTTCGCCACTACCGTGTACAGGGCTCTATCTGCTGCTGTCACTCGCACGAATGGCCTCATGGGAAGTGTAGTCCTTTTCAGAGCACAGGCAACATTCACGTCCACAGACCCACGCTCTGAACGGACTACAACACCCACCTCCACTGAGGGTCTCAGGGCCATGCTTTCGGCGTAGTTACATATCATTCATTGACAGTGTGAACAAAGTTTAACTAACTATTAGATAAAGTTTAAGTTTTAGGACGTTTAGCATCGTCCTGTTTGTTAGCTTCGATCATCACCATCGACTTCGACCACTTAAGGTGGCAAAACTCTGAGATAAATGACATTTCAGACTAGTCGAAATAGTCGATAAATAAAAAGAATAGGCCGTACATGAATGCATTCAGCTGCGATAGTCATAAGGATCACATTAGCACAAAAGCAGTGTTTTAGCTGGACCACGTGGAGCTGCAGCGTGTTAGCCTGTTAACCTGCTAGCTGCTGACTAAAGAAAAACAAAATGGCACTGACCGACTTTGTACTGCAGTTTGTCGGACATGGCGGTGACAGGAGGTGTGCAGCGGGCTGAGAGAGCGGCAGAAGCGGCCTGGGCGGTGGACAGAGGCAGAGAGGGAGGGAAGCACAGCGGCTACCCGAGTTATCAGCCCGAAGCCCCGTCCAAACCAGCTCTCACCGGGGGAGGCTCCGGAGGGGGCAGCGAGCCACGCCATTGGACGAGCGCCCTCCCGCCCCGCTTCTGATTGGCTGAGAGGAGATGAATGGTTGGAACGGGTTTGGTCTGGAGCAAGAGAGTAATAGGTTTGTTATGTGTCAACTTGCACAACGAGTCACTTTTAGGTACAACTGTGGTCATAGGTACAGTCTGTGGTCATAGGTACAGTCTGTGGTCATAGGTACGACTGTGGTCATAGGTACAGTCTGTGGTCATAGGTACAGTCTGTGGTCATAGGTACGACTGTGGTCATAGGTACGACTGTGGTCATAGGTACAGCCTGTGGTCATAGGTACGACTGTGGTCATAGGTACGACTGTGGTCATAGGTACAGTCTGTGGTCATAGGTACGACTGTGGTCATAGGTACAACTGTGGTCATAGGTACGACTGTGGTCATAGGTACAGCCTGTGGTCATAGGTACGACTGTGGTCATAGGTACAGCCTGTGGTCGTAGGCAGGGCTGGACTGGGACAAAAAAACGGCCCGGGCATTTTTGCCTTCTTGGCGGCCCAGGCATGTTTTTTCACGTTTTTTACAGTTTGTTTATACCAGGCGTCTGCAACTCAAAAGGTTCAAAGAGCCAAAAACAATATCTGTCTGGAGCCGCAAAAAAAAACAGCCTTGTATAAGGCTTATATGAAGGTATATTAATACGCAGAAACAAAGTGTCCTATCATAACTATGCAGACGACACTCAGATCTATGTCTCACTGACTGCAGGAGAACATGGACCAGTGGACTCACTCCTTCACTGTATCCAACAGATCAGTGAGTGGATGCAAAACAACTTCCTTCAGCTAAACGCAGACAAAACTGAAATGATTGTCTTTGGTCCCCAGAAACAAAGAGAGAGCGTCATCTGTCACCTCCAGTCTCTCTCCCTAAAACCTTCAAACAAGGTCAGAAATCTAGGGGTAATACTGGACTCAGACTTACATTTTAATAGCCACATCAAATCAGTAACATCAGCAGCTTTTTACCATCTAAAAAACATTGCCAGGATCAAAAACATAGTGTCTAAAGCAGACCTGGAGATTCTTATCCATGCATTTGTCTCCAGTAGGTTAGACTACTGCAATGGCCTGCTCACAGGTCTGTCCAAACAGGCTGTAAAACAGCTGCAGTACATTCAAAATGCAGCAGCTCGAGTCCTGACTAGAACCAGGAAGTACGACCACATTAGTCCGGTCCTCAGGTCTCTGCACTGGCTTCCTGTGGCTCAGAGAATAGACTTTAAAACAGCTCTGCTTGTTACAAGTCTCTCCATGGCCTCGCACCAAAATATATTAGTGACATGTTAGTCCCATATGAACCAGCCCGGACTCTGAGGAGCACAGGGACTGGCCTCCTGCTGGGACTCTGAGGAGCACAGGGACTGGACTCCTGCTGGGACTCTGAGGAGCACAGGGACTGGACTCCTGCTGGGACTCTGAGGAGCACAGGGACTGGACTCCTGTTAGTGCCCAGAGTCAGAACTAAACATGGGGAGGCTGCTTTTCAGATTCATGCTGCTAAAATCTGGAACAGTCTTCCTGAAGATGTGAGACAGGCCTCCTCTCTGACAATGTTTAAAACCAGGTTAAAGACAGTTCTGTTTAGCTGTGCTACAACTGAGGGATTTTATATTTTTATCTTTCTTTTTAATGTTCTGTGATAATTTATGATTTTAATGCTTTCTTGTTTTGTTCAGCACTTTGAATTGCCTTGTGTATGAATTGTGCTATATATAAATAAACTTGCAAGGTAACACAGGCTGCAGCTGTATTAGCTACATTAGCTTAATATCTAAATGACAAAGTAAAGGCTACAGATGCATAATAAGCATTCATGATTATCAAATGTGTATTTTCACTGCAGCGTCTCCTGGAGAGAATGACGCACCACGTGATGACTCTGGTTTAACTTTAACTTCCATTTTTTGTCTTCATGCAATTGTAGAAATACAGTAAATAAATCTGCTTTTTGGCTCAGAGTTCACATCACAGGCTGAAGTTTGCTGGAGCTGAATGTCCTTAATGGCCTTTTCTTTCACCGTTTTTGCGAAGGTATTTGAAGTTTGAAAATAGGTGCTCTGAATTTGCGATGAATGAATCCTTCACGTGATCACCGTGAACGGTGTTTAGCGCGTCATTGTTCCTCGTGTTGTAACAAAACTTCTCAATACAAACATGAAGCAGTCCTTATTGACTGAAAGCAAATGTTCATACTTATTCTTAGTACAGACTTATTATCGACTCTTTCTCTTTTTAGCTTTGGGATCCATGGCACATGCCGGTTTGTTTACAGCAGCAGCCGCCTAACGCGGGCCGCTTCACAGGATATGACGCACTACGTTGACAGAAATGTCGAAATTGAATATTACTTACGCACATTTTTGCAGCATTTAAAAACGTTAAGAATGTTTTTCATCCTACAGAAACCACATTCAAACTAGAAATAAAATATAGCCCTCCCACTCCATTTCAGACATTTTTTAAAAGACTCCAGCCGCAGGTTGCCGACCCCTGGTTTATACAGCATGGAAGAAAATACTAGAGGATCAGGATATGTGCAGTTTCAACGATTGAAATACAGTGCAATAGTCTACATTACAAGAGAGTAATAAACATGTCTCAGAGTGAAGGAGGTGGACACAGACAACACTATTGTTTGTTACAGGGATGAGAATTGGTCAAAAAAGTCTGAAATGCATAATGCCAGCCATTGGCTGTCACTAAATCTGTTTGATTTGTTCACAACATCTTACTACATGGGCTCAAATATTAAGTAAGTAAGTAAGTAAGTTTTTATTTATATACCGCCTTTTCACTGCAGATCTGAGTCTCAAAGCGGTTTACAATTGTTAATTTTGGGCATTTGTCTCTCACTCCACACAGAGATGGGAGGGGCCAGTACAGGAGGCGCATGCCAGAACTATTGGACATATTTTTAGTGGTAGGGGAAACCGGAGTACCCGGAGAAAACCTACGCAGACACGGGGAGAACATGCAAACTCCACTCAGAAAGGCCCTGGTCCGACCGGGATTCGAACCCAGGACCTTCTTGCTGAGAGGCGAGAGTGCTATCCACTCAGCCACCGTGCCGCCCACGCATTAACTTTTAATGCAATGGAAAATTTAGGTACCTGAGCTTTAATTTAGTCGCTCTTCGAGAGGAGAGGGGAGACGCGGACTGTTTCCTGCAGCGGTGTATTTATTGGGTGCACAGATTACACAAAGACATGCATGGTCCTGTGCGCGTTTATGGTCTTGGGTATATGGTCACGTTGAGGCTACGCGCTCACCGCGTTGTGTTGTGAGCGGATCTCGTGGTTCCCGCGTCCAGCTCAGAGCCGCTGGATGCTTGAACCGCTCATTACAAAGCGGCCGCAGCTGTCTCGGAACACTGCGGCCGCATACATGTTTTTTGTATGAAGCAGACAGACCGGCCCAAATATGGGCATCGGCCCTTCGGGCATTGCCCGGTATGCCCGATGGCCAGTCCAGCCCTGGTCATAGGTACAGTCTGTGGTCATAGGTACGACTGTGGTCATAGGTACGACTGTGGTCATAGGTACAGTCTGGTCATAGGTACAGCCTGTGGTCATAGGTACAGCCTGTGGTCATAGGTACGACTGTGGTCATAGGTACAGTCTGTGGTCATAGGTACAGTCTGTGGTCATAGGTACGACTGTGGTCATAGGTACGACTGTGGTCATAGGTACAGTCTGTGGTCATAGGTACAGTCTGTGGTCATAGGTACGACTGTGGTCATAGGCACAGTCTGTGGTCATAGGTACAGTCTGTGGTCATAGGTACGACTGTGGTCATAGGTACGACTGTGGTCATAGGTACGACTGTGGTCATAGGTACAGTCTGTGGTCATAGGTACGACTGTGGTCATAGGTACAACTGTGGTCATAGGTACGACTGTGGTCATAGGTACAGTCTGGTCATAGGTACAGCCTGTGGTCATAGGTACAGTCTGTGGTCATAGGTACGACTGTGGTCATAGGTACGACTGTGGTCATAGGTACGACTGTGGTCATAGGTACAGTCTGGTCATAGGTACAGCCTGTGGTCATAGGTACAGCCTGTGGTCATAGGTACGACTGTGGTCATAGGTACAGTCTGTGGTCATAGGTACAGTCTGTGGTCATAGGTACGACTGTGGTCATAGGTACGACTGTGGTCATAGGTACAGTCTGTGGTCATAGGTACAGTCTGGTCATAGGTACAGCCTGTGGTCATAGGTACAGTCTGTGGTCATAGGTACGACTGTGGTCATAGGTACAGTCTGTGGTCATAGGTACGACTGTGGTCATAGGTACAGTCTGGTCATAGGTACAGCCTGTGGTCATAGGTACAGCCTGTGGTCATAGGTACAGTCTGTGGTCATAGGTACGACTGTGGTCATAGGTACAGTCTGTGGTCATAGGTACGACTGTGGTCATAGGTACAGTCTGGTCATAGGTACAGTCTGTGGTCATAGGTACAGTCTGTGGTCATAGGTACGACTGTGGTCATAGGTACAGTCTGTGGTCATAGGTACGACTGTGGTCATAGGTACAGTCTGGTCATAGGTACAGCCTGTGGTCATAGGTACAGTCCGTGGTCATAGGTACAGTCTGTGGTCATAGGTACGACTGTGGTCATAGGTACAGTTTGTGGTCATAGGTACGACTGTGGTCATAGGTACAGTCTGTGGTCATAGGTACAACTGTGGTCATAGGTACAGTCTGTAGTCATAGTTACAGTCTCTGGTCATAGGTACAGTCTTTAGTCATAGGTACAACTGTGGTCATAGGTACAGTCTGTAGTCATAGTTACAGTCTGTGGTCATAGGTACAGTCTGTGGTCATAGGTACAGTCTGTAGTCATAGGTACACAGTCTGTGGTCATAGGTACGACTGTGGTCATAGGTACAGTCTGTGGTCATAGGTACGACTGTGGTCATAGGTACAGTCTGTAGTCATAGGTACAGTCTGTGGTCATAGGTACAGTCTGTGGTCATAGGTACAGTCTGTAGTCATACGTACAGTCTGTGGTCATAGGTACAACTGTGGTCATAGGTACAGTCTGTGGTCATAGGTACGACTGTGGTCATAGGTACAGTCTGTAGTCATAGGTACAGTCTGTGGTCATAGGTACAGTCTGTGG